TTAACTTTTATAAAGAATATCTCTTTGGATTGAGACTTTAGTCTTTGCAACTTTACATTTCTTCTTTATGCACCAAGAGCTTGTAACACTCCAAAGAGAAAGGAAAAATTGAAATCGCATCATATGACCCCTTTAACATTAAATTGTCCTCCTCCCATTTTCACATCAAAATTTTGGGGAAGCTGTGCCTCCCCCGACGAGCCGCCACTGCTGATTTTAGGAATAAATTAGGGTACGGTTAGGTTTAGGGGTGGGGATTGGTTTAAGTCTGTATTTTTGGACCGTAATGTTGATCCAGGATCAACAAAAGATGTTGATCCAGGAACATGTCTTGGCAAAATCACAGCGACCAGCGGTGCTCGTGCACCCAAAATCCTGCCGCTTCCACGGTGCCCGCCGCCAAAGATAAAAGGCTTGTTTGACTTCATGCGGCGCCGCAAAGATCGGCTGCCACCTGACAAAAGCAATGAATTCTGGTTAGAACATTTGTCCGACTTTGAAGGCCCTTTCACACGGGATGTGGCAAGCGGTGGAATCGCTGCGCGGCTGCCGCTTTCTAGTAGTAGTGGAAGTGTTTTGTGCAGTTGAGGCGGTGGTGGTGTTTCGGTCTCGGAGCCGACGTTGCCATGGTTACAATTGTCAACATCACCTTTGTATTTACTAAAAACTAAATAAAACATACCAGAAATTTGTGTTTGTGTCATCACATGTGCCATCAAAGTACCGCGAGAGCAAAACGAGACCAGCCGTCTAGGTCAGGCGCTGCAGTTGCTCAAATTCGGCTGCGAAAGCCTTGATGACGACACACTTTATTCTCATTGGTTAGATTCTGGGATGACAAGCACGACATGTGTTGCGTGTTTATTCTAAGAATTAAATTCCAATAATGCTCACAAATCTGGGTTTTTAAAGCAGTAAAAGCATTTTTACTGTAGTTGCACTGTTATATTGAGTAATTTTCATCAAAAACACTGTTAAAAGCATATATACCCCCACTTTATCAGTATTTATTTAGTAACCTATATGTTTTTATGCTGAACTTTATTCTTGAACAGATGACGCTGTATTAAAGGGTTACTTCACCCCAAAATTAAAATTCTGTCATTAATTACTCACCCTCATGTCGTTCCAAACCATAAGACCTTCGTTCATCTTCGGAACACGAATTAAGATACTTTTGATGAAATGTGAGAGCTCTCAGACCCTGCATAGACAGCAACGCAACTGAAATGTTCCCAGGTCCAGAAACGTAGCAAGGACATTGGTAAAACAGTCCATGTGACATCAGTGGCTCAACTTCAGTTTTGCGAAGCTACGAGAATACTTTTTGAGCACAAAGAAAGCAAAAATAACAATTTATTTAACAATTCTTCTCCCCCGAGTTACGTCTTCCGCCATTTTGGAGAGTACCCAAGAGCGTAATCGACGTAATCAGTGTTGTTTACGTTCGGGGGAGAAAGCGCGTGCTTGAACGTAATCTGCGTAATCAGCGTTGTTGGAAATGGCAAAAAAAAATTGTATTGATGTGGTCATGGTTGTTAGTAATCTGTTCACTGATTTGGTTGAAACCGACGCGGCTGCCGCTGTCACTTACAAAAAGATAAAATATTTGTATCTTTTGGTGTCGCGAAGCGCCATGCCCGTGGAAGCGGCAGGATATTGGGTACACGATCACCGCTTGCGCTCTGCCTCCGCGCCGCCAGCTAAACCACCCACTAAACCGCCCGCATTTTGCCGCTTTCCGCATGTCTCCCATTGAGAATTAACTAGACCAGTGTTTCTCAACCCTGGTCCTGGGCTCCCCCCAGCACTGCACATTTTGTGTGTATCCCTAATCAAACACACCTGATTCAACTCATTAAAAGAAACTCCAGGACCTGAAATAGGTATCAGATAATGCCGAGTTCACACGGCACAATTTTCAAACTCGTCAGATCGCCGTTGTTTTCACACTGCGTGACTATCTGGGGTAGCATTCAGTTGCTGCTGTGGCATAAGGGAGACATACAAAATGTACAGTGTTGGGGGTGCTCAGGACCAGGGTTGAGAAACACTGAACTAGACAATCGCGACTGCTGCGTACCGTGTGAAAGGGCCTTAAGTCTGACTGGCTGCAAGTGTACTTATTTTACTTTTTTTTTTCCACTAGGGAAGGCTTGTTTGAGATGAGCAAAATCTGCGCAGAACCGATCACCGGTGATCACAGTGAGATGCATGCCGTAGTGATGTTCGGTTTTTGAACGAATCGCTCTTTTGAGCCAGTTCTCAGGAAGTAACAGGTCGAGCCGGTTCACAAATCGAACTGAATCGAACTTTAGTTCGGGGTTGATACTGATTTGTTAGAATGGACCAGCTGGACTGGACAAAGCAACATTGACTCAACCAGTGAAGTGCATTTGGGGAGGGATTAATTGTTAACTGGGATAAATGAGGTCTACAATTCATCTCTAGCATTCCCATTCATCTCTATGGCATTGTCTTGGCTGCAAGAAACCCCGGAATGCTAACGGAAGGTTTTTTCCAGGTATTATAGACCTCCTTGATCTGAAAAATGCCAGGTTTTGGACTTTGTTTGAAAACTACTTTTATTACTATTATGATTGTTATTGTTATGCTGCTATTGGTGTAGAAATTAAACAAATGTAAAGCGCTTTGAGTGCCTAGAAAAGCACTATATAAATGTAATGAATTATTATTATTATTATTATTTAGGGTCAGGGTTGGGGATCAGGTTAAAACTATACTTATTTTGATATGTTGTTCTAGGACCACAAAAGATGACCAAATTATGCCCATTGAGGGGATCATATGTTAATCATGTGGAGCCTTATTATTCTCTGTGTCTTTATTTTGCTCTTTTCTTGTCTTTAACAGCACTTACAAAAAAAGTAAGGCTGAGTATAATGGCCAACAGACATAAGGTGAGTAAAAATTTGACATTTTTCACCATGAGCACATAAAGGGTTCAGATTGCCAGTGTCATTCATGTGACACATCTATTGTACTGTGTAATTTTGTCATGTAGATAAAGGAGGTCATGCAAGGAAGTCTTGCACAACACACACCTGAGGCTTCTTAAAGAATATTTGGAATTTGGGTAATTATTATTCAGTGAATAAAAAGTTCACATTCAGTCTTTGTTTAAAATGGAGCGTGAAATTGAACCATGACCTGACAAACAGGTAAAGACTTATCAAAATAAAAATCTTGATAAGTTTTCCACTGAACATTCATCTGTCAGTCTGGTGGGAGTGATTTGTCAAGTCAAGTCACCTTTATTTATATAGCACTTTTAACAATACAGATTGTGTCAAATCAACTGAACAGCATTAATTAGGAAAATAGTGTGTCAATAATGCAAAATGACAATAGTAAACACTCATTTTTCAGTTAAAGACAGTTCATCATTGAATTCAGTGATGTCATCATCCAGCTCAGTTCAGTTTAAATAGTATCTTTGCAGAGTTTAACACTAGGGGAAATTAACTCTGTTCTGTGTTACCACAATTTAACTCTGCAGGAAAATTTACTCTGATTAGTGTTAATATTTCACTTATGTGGAGTTAATTTACATTTGTAATAGTGAAAATTATATAATTTAAATTTAAATTATAAAATTAACTAATTTTAAAACCCATTTGGTGTTTTAAAAACAAAATAGAAAACAAGATCAACGATGTCACATTTAAAACATTTATTAAAAAATGTTGTCAGGCTCAAGAAACATACACATACATGCACAAAAATACATCACGTCTGCATGAAATGACAATACATCATTATATTCAGTACAGAACTTGTTGAACCTACTAGCTAAGCAGCCTTGCTCTTAACCTCAGCGATGAAATGAATGAAAAGTGTACATCTTGTGTAGAATAGTGTTATAAGTGGTGCCAAAAACAAAGTGTGCCTTAAGAAGTTTGTTCACCAAAAAATAGAATTATCGTTAATTACTCACCCTTATGTTATTCCATTTCTATAAGACTTTTGTTCATTTTCGGAACACAAATAAAGATATTTTTTATGAAATCTGGCAGACTTTTACCCTTTCATTGGCAGCCTATACAACTAAAACTTTCAAGGCCCAGAAAGGTTTTAAAGACATCATTAAATTAACCCGTGTGACCCTGTGACTGGTGATTTAACTTCAGTTTTATTAAGCAACACGAGTGCTTTGTTTGCGCAAAGAAAAAAATAATATTTTACCACTTTATGAAAATATTCATCTCTGACAAGCGTACACGAGAGCACGACGACGGATGAATGTTTTGTTGAAATGAAAGCAGACGTTGTGTGAATGCATGCATAAAATTGAGGTCAAAACAGTGAAAATGAATGTCATTACTACCTTTCTGTGCCTTGAATGTGCTAGTTGCGTGGACTGTCAGTGTAGGGCCAGAAATCTCTCAGATTTCATTAAAATATCTTCACTGGCGTTTTGAAGATGAACGAAAGTCTTACAGGTTTGAAATGACATGAGGGTGAGTAAATGTTGACAGAATTTGAGTAAATTAACCCCATTAAACAGTTTGTCAAAAGCATCAAGAGAAGAGACTGACTTGCATGGAATGGCATGCTGATCCAAATTTAAGTACTGGTGAAATTAATAATTCTTCCAAGAGCCGGGTGACAGGGCTGAGCACTTCCAGCAATGCCTTGAAGATGCTCCTCAATGCTTGTTCCACTCTGGAAAAAAAAAAACAAGAAAATCGCAGAGGACTATCACTGATATGTTAAATAAAATAAAAAAACTACAAAAAAATAATAAATAAAAACAAACCATCTAGAAGATATCTCTACTTGAGACGTAGACACCTTTCCTGGTCTCTTCTGGCCTTGACAAGACACAAACAACAAATATTTTAAGATCATAAACACTGCTTAAAGAATGCTGTATGAAGTTAATCCTTAGTCACAGTTAATGCAACTCAGTAGCTACAAAACTGCTGTGAAAAGTGGCACAATGACATTTCTCTTTTCATTTTGCACCTTCAAATTATATTCCTCGTTAGAAATGCCTCTCAGTTTAGTTTTGATTCTCCATAGCAAGTATCCGGTGGCACTCTTACCAACATCATAGTAATGCTCCTTAGAAAGTCAAAAATACAGAAAAAGGAGAAGAAAAAGTGTTTTAAAATCCAAGAGAAAAATACACCACCTATATTACGGGCATGTGATCAAAACATTTAAAAGTTGTCAACAATGCATTAAAACTCAAACAAAAACAGTGCGATACTTACATAGTCATTTTTGAAGAAGGGGACACTGAGGTACAGGAACAAAGGCACAATTCCTCTGGCATAGTTTTCGTTCACCTTCCTTGTTGGTGATGTACTGCAAAAATAAATATTTTTTTGAAATATATATATATATATATATATATACACACACACACACAGTTATCATATATAGTTTTATTTATATGAAATATTACCTATTATTTTCTTTAATGTCATTTGTCAGGATATTGAGTTTTTTATTGAGAATCAATCAGACCAGCTTAATAATAATAAAAAAATAAATAAAAAAGTATCAAAGCAAAAACATAAATATGGTATATAAACAATAAAAATACTACTTCAAACAATACTTAATTTTACATATTCTTGTAAACTTTAACCTTATAAAGATCAAATTAATGTTGTATTTTTAAGTAGATTTATGCGTTTCAACAGTCCCCCAAATGCAAAAGTAATAAAAACGCATTGCCCACCTTTTAGCTCCATCATCTAGTCTCATTCGTTTACTGGAAGACCTTTCTTCAATAATGAGTGTATCCTGTCACTAGTCACTGGAGTCAAAGGATGAAGACAGGGACTGATTTGACTGCACAGGAGAAGCTTGTTACTTAAAAGGAGAAAGATAATACGTTAGTTCTGTGCTATGACATGCCAATAACAGTCTCTCCTAATAAACAGGCAACATTTTAAAATGCGTTACGTTACTTGTACCAGCACTTACATGTACCGCTCTGATCAGGCCAACTAACTGTGTATGTCTAACAGCAATAACGTAAAATAGTTGTTCGTGGTACCGTAATCACTGCATAAGGTTAAAATAACGAAAACAAAGACTGTTTTTAAATGAGATGTTCCGCCTTCCCCATTGACTACTTCTTCGCGCAGTGTTGAGCCAAGTGAACACTAATCCCACAGCGCCATCTACATGGCTTCAATAAAGATGCAATGGTGGCGTTCGACTAATTTGTCTAATTAATTCGACTAATTAATGCCGTTGGACACATTTAATCTTTCGTGAGCTGAACAGTAGCAAATATAGAGTTAATGTGTCAGCTTATGCCCCATTGTGACGTTACATTATTAAACGTTTAAAAAACAAATTAAGCGCATATACCAAAGCTAAATACAGCTGAAAATCAAATTAAGTAAGATTACTGACATCATTTAAACTTTATCATTACCACATTGAGATGAAAAAAGCAAATTTCTCCAGCATACTGAATCCGTGTATCATTCGATCATTCTTTTTTTTTATTTAATATTGAAAGTAGAAAAATTAGAAAACGGCTCCTTTTTCGTATTCGTTTTTTTCCAAAACACGAAAAACGAGAATTCAGCTTAAATTTTCGTTTTTCGTTCTTTGGTGGAAAAATGAATAAACAGCTTGAATATTCGATTTCTACATGTGGTTAATACTCTGTCATTTATAGTCGTATGGTAAAATGTATTTGTATTTGTGTAACGTTACGTTCAAAATAACTACAAAATGTCATGCCTTTGAAAAATAAAGAGAACAACAGAATGCGCTGCTTTAGCGCGTCTCGGTCTCCTTGAGCATCTTTCTGGCGCATGCCACAAACATCAACCACAGAATTACACAAAGTTAAAAAAATTACAACTTATGCATTAATAGTAGCACAATTATTAACATCAAATATTAAACTTATGTTTTAATAAATTAAAAGAGCTTACCTTTTGGCGCAAGTCAAAAGAAAATGGAGAAGAGAGAACTTTTGCTCTGGTCTTCGGGGATGGCTTGAGGGGCGGAGCTTAACGGAGTAAATTTGACAATGCAGAATTAAACTCCGATCATTTTCACCAACACTAGGGGGCATTTTTCACTATCTGTTGTTAAGTTAACTCCTTAAGAGTAAATGGAGTGTAACACTGCTTAATTAACACTGTCAATTTTACTGTGTGCAAATTGTCTGTGAGCTGATTTCCAGCTACAAGGAGAAAAAGAAAAACAGATTATGCAGGAGGGAGATGCAGGGAACAGGGATTGGGTGTTCTGCAAAGAGAGTTGGAGGTAAATAATTTTGCATTAACTGTTATGCTGATGTTGTGGCTGGTCAAACAAATGTTTGTGCTTGTTTCTGTATGATATAATTGTTCATATATCTATTAAAATACTGATATTCTGGTCTATAACTCCTCCCCGAACTTCCCGCTGCCCTGTATCTTGGTCTCTCATTGGCTGTAGGTCATCGCCGATGTGTTTTTCAGTCAGAACTCATTTCACACAGCGTGATTGTGAATCACCAACAGCTCCAGATATTTAGCATGCCAAATATTTTGCGGGCGTCTGCGACGCATCGGCGATTCCCTCAGATCGAGTCTTTGATAATTCACACTGCATGATTGTCACTCGCGTGAACGAGCACCGATTTGCCTCCGATGTCGGGCATTTGTCAGCGATTTCACAACACCTGTCGGCGAGTGAAAAATCGGGCTAATATCGTGCAGTGTGAACTCGGCATAAGGGAGACATACAAAATGTACAGTGTTGGGGGGTGCTCAGGACCAGGGTTGCGAAACACTGAACTAGACAATCGCGACTGCTGCGTACCGTGTGAAAGGGCCTTAAGTCTGACTGGCTGCAAGTGTACTTATTTAACTTTTTTTTTTCCCCTAGGGAGGGCTTTTTTTTGATGAGGAGAACCGATTGAGCCGGTTCAACCAACTCGAAGTCGAAGTTTGCCGATAATTACCGAAGATTCTGATGAGTGAGTTGACGAAATTGTGCAAGCCTGAGGCACGTACTGGAAATATGCTTATGACTGTTATTAATTTACATTTTATTAAAACCTGCAAAAACCTTTCTGTCAAGTGATGTAAATACATTTTAAAATAGTTTATTGTGCATGCATATTATATTTACAGTTGCTAAAGCGAAATCAAGGAGTTAATTAGACTGGTTTATTCATTCTTTATACTGTAGACATGTAGAACATACAGTATCCGCATTTCTGCATCAATGTCTGTAATGTGTGCTGTAGGTCTGAAACTTTTAGGAATCTCATACAAGTTGTAGGCTAGTCAATATTGGTCATTTAGTATCTGACATAAAGTATCCGCGAATGAAACTGTGACCACAAACACCATTAACTTAAAGGGTTAGTTCACCCAAAAATGAAAATTAGGCTGTGTTTTACTCACCCCCGAGCAGTGGTGGAAAGAGTACTGAAAAAATATACTCAAGTAAAAGTACCATTACCTTCCAAAAAATGTAAGTAAGAGTAAAAGAGTAGCCAATTTAAAAGTACTCATGAGTATTGAGTAGTGAGTACTGAGCTGTGGATTCTACCCCCTCATAATAAACGCTGTACACCGCAATTTATAGATTTTAAAAACGTGGTACATTCTGTAATTCACATTATCTTGTTTGTCATAAAGAATGAAGAATATCTTTCATCCAGCAGTTTTAATTTTGACTGCCAACTCTTTAAAATACATTAAAAAAGCACGGAAACAGTATTCAGTTGAAGAAAAGATGAAAATTATTCTCAGTACAATCATCCCCATTTAAATCATAAAGTTTGAAAAAAAAAAAAAAGATTTAAAATCATGTGTAAGGCCACTGAGACAGCATGCTGTTGTTGCACATAAAATATTAAAGGGGTCATATGATGCGATTTAAATTTGTCCTTTCTCTTTGGAGTGTTACAAGCTCTTGGTGCATAAAGAAGATCTGTAAAGTTGCAAAGACTAAAGTCTCAAATCCAAAGAGATATTCTTTATAAAAGTTAAGAGTTAACCACGCCTACCTAAAACAGCTCATTCTAACATGCCCCCACATGTCTACATCACTATGTGGGAAGATTTGCATAACGCCGCCCAAATGTTCATGCTGTAGTATTGTTGTTGCCGCAGCCATGTTGTGAAGGCACTGTGTGATTCGTCGTGAAAGCGAAACTACTTTGTTTGGTCTTCCAAAAGGAGTAAAAGTACCGATGCATCACTTAAAATGTACACAAGTAAAAGTAAAAGTACAAAATTTTTAAACTACTCGAAAAAGTACAATTACTGATAAAAACTACTTAATTACTGTGACGTGAGTATTTGTAATTCGTTACTCCACACCCCTGCCCCCGAGGCATCCTAGGTGTATATGACTTTCTTCTTTCAGATGAATCTAGTTGGAGTTATATTAAAAATAGTCTTTGATCTTTCAAGCTGTTTAATGCCACTCAGCGGGTGTTGCATTACTTCAGTCCAAAAGAAGTGAAATAAAGCACATCAATCCATAATAAAAAGTGCCTTACACGGCTCCGGGGGGTGAACAAAGGCCTCCTGTAGCAAATCGATGCATTTTTGTAAGAAAACTAACCATATTTAAAACGTAATAATCAAATTAATCTAGCTAGGCGCTCACTGTTGTACACGGAAGCAGCTCCGGGTGGATGACGTATGGACGTCAGCATTGCGCATACACCGCTCTGAAGTGATGAACGTGGAAGTGCAGGGGAGAGATCAAAACAAAACAACGGTCACGAATTAGAAGTACAAAACGAGGATTCGTAAAGAAGAATGTCGGAGGATTTCGATATAAGCCAAGAGGAGACTGGTTTTCCTTTGCTAAAGTAAGGAAACTTTGCTTCCTTTGCTCCTAT